ATGTAGTGTTCCATGATTCATTGTTTGCGCATAACACCCAGTGTTCCACGCAGAAATACCATAGGTTTTTAATCACAAATTTTAATTAGGACAAAATGTTCACCATTGTGAGCCCTAACTATAAGGAAGGGGTGGGTGGGGAGGAGAGGGAGTGAGGGAGAAACTTTAGTTCTGACAGTAGGATAGACAGAATCTCCATTCTCAAGGCCCTTTTGTACCAGTCCAGAAATTGAAATTAGACCTCTCTGCTCTCTCCATATATTCTTGATCAGGGGTCAGCAAAATGTTTACCATCAGTAAGGATCCAGATACTAAATATTTTAGGCTCTTCGTGGGCCACGTTGTCTCCATCTCAACCACTCAATTTTGCTATTATAGAGCAAAAGCAGCTGTAGACAATACATTTTAAAAAGGGCACAGCTGTGTTCTAATAAAATTTTATTTACAAAAACAGATGAGAGGCTGGATTTGGTCCACAGGCTAAAGTTTTCTGAGCCCTATTCCTGGTCGTTCAATGTCCATGAGATCGATATCTGGTAGGTTGAGGCAAGTTTGATCTTGGGACAACTATTATTTAACTATAAATCTGTGGAGCTGGTTTGCTTTTGTATAGATAAAAATCACTTTCGTCTTCAGATTTTGATCTAGATGTGGTAATCCGTCTGTGATCTTTGAAGATCCAAAAAATGAGATGGTATTGTTAAACCAGCAAGGTACTTTGGGTTTTGTTGAGGTAAAGATCTCTATGATTAACTGAATATCCATAGGCCTTTTGATATGCCTTGGGATCTTGACAACTTCATGCAGTTTTTGTAGCTCCTTCATTTTCTTTTTATTCTCTAATTGATCAATCAACCTGTGTTAACAAATAGACCAATCCCATTGATGTGTTTGCATTACTTTACAATTTGCTTACATGCCATTATTAATCACTATAATTACAATGGGCTCAGAACACTCAAAATGAATTACTGTTATTTTTTCACTATTCAACTAAAATTTCCTGTGTGCTTTATTCAATTAAGCTCTCTCTAGTTGTAGTTAAAAATACAATATGCATTTATTCATTCATTGAAATCTCATTGAATGCCACGTGTCACACAGAATGCAATGTGCTGGGAATACAAAGATTATCCCGCTCAATCTCTGCCCTCAAAATACTCTGTCAAGAGATAAGAGCCCCAAGGAGGGAGTGGTCACAGTGTCGAATACAGCAGAAAGATCAAACTTGAGCAGAGATTCCACTGGGTTTAGCAGTAAGAAAGTCATAGGTAGCCCCAGAGAGCAGTTTCAGCAGAATTTTAGTGGAAGTGGGCATACTCTTAGATTCTCCAAACTCTCACCTATGCCACGATGCCCAAATTCCCAACAACAAAACCCAAGGGCACGGTCTTTTTTTCTCAACAGAGTTAATATGATGAACTCTTCCCTTACTTTCCAGGTAGATTGGACATCAGAGCTGTATCAGTTGAGGTTTTCAGTTATAAGCAATAAAACCAGTTCTGCTAGGCATCAGCAGAAAAGGATTATAGTAAAGAATATTGGATATTTCTTAGAATCTCTGGAAAGAAAGGCAAAGCAATCTTGGAAGCTACATAAATAGGAACTAAGTTGGAAGTCTGAAGCCAAGCTAGTCCTATAAAGACCACTGCCCAGATACTGCATCTTTTTTCCCCCTAAGACTTATTTTATTTTATTTATTTTTAAATTTTATGTATTTATTTATTTGACAGAGAGAGAGTACAAGCACAAGCAGGGGGAGCGGCAGGCAGAGGGAGAAGCAGACTCCCCACTGAGCAGGGAGCCCAATGCGGGGTTCTATCCCAGGACCCTGGGATCATGACCTGAGCTGAAGGCAGACCTTTAACCGACTGAGCCACCCAGGTGCCCCAAGACTTAATTTTTTTAGAGACGTTTCAGGTTTATAACAAAATTGAGAGGAAGGTTCAGAGATTTCTCATATTCCTTTTCCCCTCACATACATAGCCCCCCCATTATCAAATCGCTCACCAGAATGATACATTTTTTACCAAATATGAAACTTTGTGTCACATCAAAATCACCCAAAATCCATAGTTTAACTTAAGTTTCACTCTTGGTGTTGTAAATTCTGTGGGTTTGGACAAATGTATAATATGTAATGTATAATGGACATATACTCATCCTTATAAAATCAGAGTATTTTCATTACCCTAAAAATTCTCTGTGCTCTGCTTATTTACCTCTGCCTCCTCTGACTTCCAGTGCTCACTGACTTTTTTATTGTCTCCATATTTTTGCCTTTTTGAAAAAGTCATATAATTGTAATCATACAGTATGTAACCTTATCAGATTGTTTTCTTTCACTTAGGAATATGCATTTAAGATTCCTCCATGTTTTTTCATAGTTAGATAGCTCATTTCTTTTTAGTGCTGAATACTGAGGGACATCTTTGTTGCTTCCAAAATTTGGCAATTAAAAATAAAGCTGCTATAAACACCTGTGTGTAGATTTTTGTGTGGTCATAAATTTTTAACTTCTTTGGGTAGAAACCAAAAAGTACAATGGCTGGGTTATTAGGCAAGAATATGTATAGCTTTGTAAGAAGTTGCCAAACTTCCAAAAGTCTTCCAAAGAGCGGTACCATTTTGCATTCCCACCAGCAATGTATGAAAGTTCCTGTTGCTTCACATCCTCTCCAAAATTTGGTTTTGTCACTGTTTTAGATTTTGACCATTCTAATAGGTGTGTAATAGTACCTCATTATTGTTTTAATTTGCAATTCTTTTTTTTTTAAGATTTATTTACTTTGAGAGAGTGAGAATGAGAGAGAGAGAGAGAGTACATGAGAGGGGGGAGGGTTTGAGGGAGAAGCAGATTCCTTGCCGAGCAGGGAGCCCGATGCGGGACTCGATCCCGGGACTCCAGCATTATGACCTAAGCCGAAGGCAGTCGCTTAACCAACTGAGCCACCCAGGCGCCCTTAATTTGCAATTCTTTAATAACATATGATGTGGTTCATCTTTTTATATGCATATTTGTGATCTGTATACCTTCTTTGGTGAGAAGTCTGTTCAAGTCTTTTGCCCATGTTTTAATTAGGTCTTTTGTTTTCTTATTGTTTAGTTTTAAGAGTTCTTTGTATACTTTCAATAACAAACCTTTCTCAGATGTGTCTTTTACAAATATTTTCTCCCAATCTGTGGTTTGTCTTATTCTCTTGAATTTTTCTTTTTTAATTTGAGTTTTTCAAATATTATATTGCTAAAATAACTTTCTTTGGCTAGTATTTGCGTAAGATAGATTTTATTTCTTGTAAATATTTTTTAAGCTGTTGTGTGTGGTCTTTAATGGATTGTTAGTGGCATAGAGCAGACTTGTTTTGTACAAACTAATAATGTCAATTATTACTATTTCTGGTGTGTCTGCAGTTATTTTTACTAACTTAGTTTATATTTTATGCCTACTATTCCTTTTTGGGATTGCTTAAAAATTTTTTTTTTCTGGCTTCTCTTGATCCAAAAGTTTTCTATTCTCCACTTTTCAGCTGTTGAGTCATTTATTGCTGATTATATATTTTGTCTTTTAGTTGTAATCCTTAGTTTTTTAGCATAATATTTAACAACAGATTTTTCTTACAGATTTTATGTTATTTGGTGTTTCCATCCTTCTCCAAACACAAAAATGATCTTAGCATGCTTCAATTATCCATTATTATCCTCTTCAGTCTTACAATTGCTTGATTTTTTTTGCAATAAAACAAATGTTTAATTTAATTCAGAATAAGAGATAAGAAATAACTCTTCAATAAAATATATAAAATTATACAAGGCACCCTTTCAAAG